TGAAGACATGGCCAAAGTATCTCAATGCACTTCACCAATGTTAATAAATTAACTACATGAGCTGGGATTGTTCCCATTTCATAGATGGAGAAATTGAGGTAGAGAAAGGTTGCATAGCCTATCAAATTCAATTGATAAATGAGTGTTAGAATCATGGCTGAAACCTGTATCTTCTGATTTCCACCCATGGCATAACCATTAGACCAATGTTCTTGAACTGTCAGCTGTTGGCAGCAGAACCAAAGGCTTCAGCTGTTGAAACATTATAGTACATTTTTATATATATATATATACACACACACACACACACACACACACACACACACACAGAGTATATGGCTTTAAAATGCACTTACATAATTTCTAAGCAAGACTAACAAATCACTGCTGGAAATGGGTAGCCCACAAATGCATGGCCATTGCTGGCAACCTGCAGCAGTTTACATTTTTTTCAAAGAAGTTTTACTAGATTTAGAGCATTTTACTTATTTTGTTTTCTCCCCAGTTCTACACATTTCATCCTTAGAGTTCAATTAAAATACACTTTTCAGATGTCAACATTACAACTGAATTCATTCAACCATCCACAATGCCTCAGCATCCTTTAGGCTGACAGTGTGAAAACAAACAGAATAAAAAAAGACTGACATTCATTATAGTAGGGTAGTATTTTAGATGTGGTATTCAAAATTAGATACCACTTCGGAAGAGAGCACTGCAAACAAGTTTGAGATATCCTGCCTACATTTTTTTATATTGAATATTACTGTATTTCTACAATCATTCATGGAAAGATAGGCATTCTATATTCCATTTGATCATCCTTATGCAGTATAAACCATTAATTCCTTCTTAGCTTTTCCAGAATGGGGAAGAGAGGCAGAAAGGAAAAACAGTGACAAACAATTAAGCATTTTGAATCTGAGAATATATTTTAGAGACTAATCACAATATTATTCCAGGAAATGGAACAACTGACTTCCCACATTTTCATGGTCTCTCTTGGCTCAAAGTATTAAAAATATTGTTGAATATAACAAATCCAACTTTACTACTGAGTATCCAAATGAGTAAATAGCTCAATCTCATATGCATACTTTATAAGAATGCAGTATTTGAAAGTTGGGAACGCTCTTTAGTACATTTAGGGGCTTGTCATCACTGCAGTTGCTCAAGTTACAGTTTGAGCAATTATCCCAAACTTGAGTCCCATCCACACACCAATTTACGTGTGATATTCTTTTATCTTGAGTTGGCTGGTCCTCATGGGGGTATAGGCTACAGTGCAACTTAATAACTTACCAGCTGCTACCACAATTGCTCTGTGTAGCTCAATATTTCATAGTGTAGCTGCTCTTACTCAAGCTAGGATAATACTAGAAAAGCGGCCTGAGTCATGGACACATTTTTGACTTATGACAACAAAAGCTTTATATGTTTTTCCATCCATGGCTAAAGAGCCAAAATCTGATTCCTTTGAAGTTAGTGGCACAACTTCCATCGACTTGAGCAAGATCAGTTATTTGCCTGAAGTTTTCAATTCATGACGCTATGTTTTGCAGTGATGGCAAAGGATTTAGAATAATCCGTTTCTGTTGGGGTTTTTTTGTCTTTTTTTTAATAGCCTCTGAGTTCTGTGATGAAGGTGAGTAATGGAAAGAGTAAGCAACTTTCTTTGAGATAGCACTAAGGAAACTCCTAGAAGTTCCTGTTCTCAGGGACTGTGTAAGACCCTAGGGAAATTTTGGCATATGTTTGGTTTCTACAATGCTGGAATACAGAAAGGTGGTTAAAAAACAAAAGTCATACTACACACACAAAACCCCTGTTTGTCTGAGCTTGTGTGGCTGAAAACTGCAATAAGCTCACATCATTCTAGCTAGTGAAGTCCACTTTGAATGAAACTATTCATTCCAACTACCCACAATAACCACTTTGAAGTGTTTTGCAGCTTTAACCATTTTGAGTAGAAATCTGAGAAGGAGAAGTATCACATCTTGCTGTTTTGCTGCAATAGGTACAGCTTTATTTAGTTTTATTGGTTCTTGCTGTGCTACTCCATTATTAGTTATTTGTAGTGTGAAAGCACAAAATCAGGAATTAGAATCCTACTGTGCCAGGCACTGAACAGAAATAAAAAGAGATTGTCCCTACCCCAAAAAAAGCTAGCTCTAGGACTCATTTCACATCATTAATATGTTCTCTTTAGAAATAGGCTACAGTTCAAATGGTGTACAAAAGAATGTAAATTAAAACCCTTCTCACAATGAAGCATCAGACCATGCTGACTACCACTGTTCAAAAAACTATTAAGCATGGTTCTGCAGGAGCAGTGTTGCAATATGGACAGAACTCTGCCACAATCAGTCAGATGAACCACTCCCATCCTTGAACCACTCCCTTCCTTGAAATCAGGATTATTCTCAAACTAGAGCCAACCAAACAGTATATAGTAAAACGTCAGTTCAACAAATTTAGTCCATCTTTGTGTTTGCAAATTATCTTCAGAGTTTGCCTGACTAGTTATTTAGAAAATGATTTGCTGAATGGCTTTCTGAACGTATTTCCCGCCCATGGATTGCTCACAAACAATTTTCCACAGCTACTGCTTCAAGTATTCACTATTCATAATTTCCTGTTTGTGCTGTGTGATTAGATGCTTAAGTCAGATGACTGTGTTAGGATGGGTAGGAATGGTATCCCGCCCCTTTGTTTGTCAGAAGCTGGGAATGAGCAGCAAGGGGTGGATCACTTGATGATTACCTGTTCTGTTCACTACCTCTGGGGCATCTAGCATTGGCCACTGTCAGAAAACAGAATATTGGGCTAAGCTTGATGGACCTAGTATAGTCATTCTTATGTTTTTATTCCCTGACTGAGTGACTGCCATCTCAAGCCCTTTCAAAACGACCAAATAAACTCTCCATTAAAGTTACTGGTAGGAATAAGTTTTTATTTTAATTATCATCATAAATACATTTCTACCATATTTAAGGGTCTAATAATGACATGTTTTGTAACTGTGATAAGCATAGATAAGAGTCACACTCTTACTGTGGGGCATTAAAAATGTATAAAAATAGATTACCACGTTATTAAAAGTGCTAATAAGCCAGGCCTAGAGGTAATGGTCAGGCATCGCAAGACCAACACTGACAATGCATTAGCTAACAACTTGGAACAAATCAAACCATGAAAAGAGAACCTGAAAGCAGGGAGATGATTTACTATTTTGATTTAAAAAATTTCAGATTAAAAATGACATTTTAAAAAACAAAATTTCATTACCCTATGCAGTAAGTAACTTAAATTCCTAAAATGGAAACAATTTTAAAAATCTAACTTAATCTTCACATTTTTTCTTAGTTTCATCATGTTTTCCATTCAATTCACATTGAATTGAACCATGAAAAACAGACTCATCAAGAAAGTTTTCCTTTGCCGTAGAACCCATCTGTATCCACATTCACTTTGTGGTTTGTAGTACAGTGAAGTAGAGTGACACTTGAAACCCATATATTTTAGGTGTGATTTATCTTGCAGAATCCCTTTAATCTTTCCTTCTAGACTTGCTCCAAGGTGAATTTTACAATTTAGTATTTTAGAAACAAAAGACAGGACTATGCAGCACTTTAAAGACTAACAAGATGGTTTATTAGGTGATGAGCTTTTGTGAGCCAGACCCACTTCCTCAGATCAAATTGAGGTAGTGGGTCTGGCCCATGGAAGCTCATCATCTAATAAACCATCTTGTTAGTCTTTAAAGTGCTGCATAGTCCTGTCTTTTGTTTCAGAAAGACCAGACTAACACAGCTACGTCTCTATTAGTATTTTAGAAACACTGGTGCTTTTATAATGCTCATAAAGGTAATGTGCCAGGGAAAAAAAATTGGATTTGTGCCCTTTTGAGCTACTCTAGGATGTATTCTATTAAAGGATATGCCTGCCCTGTACTACCATTAGTTGGCCAAGCATGGCTCTGCTGACCCTTGCCTCAGTTTCCCCTTCACTCAAGGCCCATTAAAAATCTACACAATCCAGACATTCAAAACATCCACTTTGCAGGGTACAATTTATAATTGATTAAGTCTTGCACAAAGTCTTTCAAAATAGAACTCAATCCTACAGTTTTCAATTCTGTTTTAGCTGGGCCATAGCCCTCCTCCCTGTGGGCTTGTCTTCCTGCTTTCCTAGCACTTCTTACCTGGATTTGATCTTCTACACAGACCTTCCCAACTGATGCAGGGTCCTGCAGGAGCCTTCTAACCCCCTACAGTGTCTGCAGGCATCTGCCTACCACTACCTGCAGCGGTATCCCCCTTTGTAAAACTTAGGTGGCTTCCTGTAAGCTCAATCAGTCCAGGAAAAATAGATCCCATTCCCTCTTAAAGAGGCTAGTGACATGTCCCTATCTTTCCAGTGGAGCACAAGCCATCTTTACGAATATCTGCCCATCAGAGAAGCCTCCAAATTTCTTCATATTTGTTTTCCTGCTGTGAGTAGAGCAAGCTAGAGGTTTCTCACCTGTAGTAATTCCTCTCTCCATCTCTTCTCCTCCTCAACTCTGTAACTGAGATCTGGGATGGGAGGGAGAACTGCCATCCCCCATCCTATCACTCACCGTGAACTTTAATTCTTCCTGCTCGATTTGTCTTACTTATATGCCTGCCAGGTTACAGCCTCTTCTTCACACATGTGAAGTCTAGCTGAAACACAACCAGTGCTGACAGAGTTTTAAAATGCTATGTAGATTTGTCAAAAACTAGACCAGTTCACTGACAACTGATTTTCCCTCCACCCAAGATTTTTTTTTAAAGGAAGCAAATTTGTTTAGATGAAGCTATGCTGAGAAGAGAGATCTAAATACAGCTGGGAGAGCAAAATGTAATAGAATGGGAATTAAACAGGGCCAGAGAAAGTCACTGCTGCAGAAGGAAGCTGTAATTACTTAAGAGAACAAACAAGGACAGTTAATATTTTGACTAAGCTGTTGTACTTACCTGCATATCCTCCAGCTGGATTTCCAAAGATTTTTTCACCAACACCAATTCCTTTCTTTCCTTCACAGCATGTGCCAGGACACTTTCTAAATGTTGCTTTTCTTTCTACAATACAAACGTTTGACAGACTCAGGAACGCTGATATTGCTGTCTCCCTAGCCTGCCTCTGGAAGACCTACAAACAAGCATAAAACTGCAAACACTTATAAAAACACCGTCACTGGCTTCCTCTTGCCTGCTATATCACCAAAAGTCCATGTTCCACTACTCCCTACTTACAAGCTCCCATTTCCTCTTATACTCACTCAGGCACATCACCAACATGCCCATCTCTCCCTTTCAGTGTTATTTTTACACTGCTGTTTTGGCCGAAGCATCCTCCTAGTACCTGTAGACGAGGCTCCAACCTGCTTTCTCCCTAAAGCTCACATGCTTTGCACAGGTCTCCCTGCACCAATGATTTTGCCTGCCTTCATCTCATCTTTTATTTTTGTGCAATGTGCCCACCCAATAACAAATAGGAACACTACACCAGTTACCTGGCTGGTTTTGTAACTTACCTCATATCTCTCTATTTTTTCCTTCATTGTATCATCTTCTCCTTTCATGTTATCAATCTGTTGAAGAAGTTGTTTAATTTTGCCCTCTAGCTCTTTAATTGTTCTCTTCAGTTGTTCATTTTGCTCAGCCAACTCCTTCACTTGATTTTCTGCACTATTTTGCATCTGTTTGGCAGTGTCTCTTTCACTGGCTGAGAGCGCAGCATTCTAGTCAGAAAAGAGTAAAAGTAACAGTTACACAAAACCTCCATTTTTAAAGACAACTGTAAAAACAGCTCTCAGTCCATGTAATCCTGGATGACAATTTTAAATATGGAAAACTTTTATGATGCATCTAGATCAGCGGTTCCCGCTGGCCCTGGGCTGCACGTGGAGTTCCGCATTCCTCCTTTGAAATGTACAAGAGCCCCAGCGGAAGGAATGCAGACGTGCCTATCAACTAGTCGAGTAGTTGATGGAAATTCCATCGACTAGTAAAAGTAATCGTTAGTTAACATCCCTAACTCAAACCAGCGGGTACTGGGGGGAGGCTAGTATCACCCAGCTGTCGGGTGGGTGCCATGAGCCCAAGACGCACACGGGCTGAGTAACCCTGCACTTTAGGCCCCAACTATTAACAGCCTTGGGAGGAACTCTCGAGCCACCAGAAATGTGCACCAGCCCCCTGTCGCTTGTGCCTCAGACACCACTGATCCCGTGCATGTATTGGGGGCTGGGCTGTTGCCAGGCCTGGCAGGGCAGGGGCAGGGTCTCTTCTCAGCCGCGAAAGGGCAGTTTGCTATGCAGCAGGACAGCTGTGCAGAGCCCAGCACAGCAGCCTTAGAGCAGTCTTGACCCAGGCAGCAGCACTCAGCTGGCAGCTGGGAGGCAGTGCAGGGCTAGGTGAGGGGGGCAGGGAGGCACTGGGAGTTCTGGGGGCAGGGCTAGTGCTGGGAAGATCTGGGGGTCGGGGTTCTTTAAGAGGCAGAAGCTGGCACTGGGGGGCTCTGGGGACAAGGGGAGGCTCAGGAGCGGGGTGCAGCGGGGCTCTGGAAACAGGAAGCTGGCCCTGAGGGGGTCTGGTGGTGGGAGGAGGCTGGCACTGGAGGGCTCTGAGGGCAGGAGGCTGGCACGGGGGCAGGGGGCAGAGGACTCTCTGGGATCAGTGGCTGGTGCTGGGGGGGTCGTGGAGGGCTCTAGGGGCTAGGGCTGGCACTGAGGTACTCTGGAGGTTGGGGCTCTGGTGATCCGATAACATTTATTTGCATATTTGTTTGCATAATGAATATGCAAATAAAATGTTACCAGTGCACAGAAAGTTTGTAAATGGGTTTACGGTCCCTGGTATCAAAATGTTGGGAACCACTAATATAGATAAAGCAACACTATCAACTGGAGGCCTTTTGGAGCAAACCCAAAGCCAGAGGGAATGAACAGAACAATCATCAAGTGATCCATCCCCTGTCACCCATTCCTACACATTCTGGCTAATAGCCATTGAAGGACCTATCCTCCATGAATTTATCTAGCTCTTTTTTGAACCCTGTTAAAATCCTGGTCTTTACAACATCCTCTGGCAAGGAGTTCCACAGGTTGTGTGAAGAAATACCTTCTTCTTGCATTATGGAAACAAGTAAATAGCTTTTCCTTATTTACTTTCTCCACAGTCATGATTTTATAGATTTCTTAGCATCCCCTGTTTTAAGCTGAAAAGTCCTAGTCTTATTACTCTCTCCTCATACGGCAGCCATTCCAAAACCCAATAATTTTTGTTGCCCTGTTCTGAACTTTTTCCAATGCCAAGATATGATGGTGAGATGAGATGACCACATCTGCATGCAGCATTCAACATGTGGTTGTACCATGGATTTCTATAGAAGCAATAAGATGTTTTCTGTCTTAGGCTACGTCTATGCTGCTGCATCCAGGGAACGCGTTTGCGCTTCTGCTTTTTTTTGCAGAAGAGCAAGCACGCTCTTTCAAGGAGCCCTGTATTCCTCATTTCACATCTAGGCTGTATCTACACTGGCGCAATCTTGTGCAAAAGCGGCTGTTCTTGCGCAAAAACTTGCTGCTTGTCTACACTGGCCGTGTGTTCTTGCATAAGTAAACTGACGTTCTAATGTATGAAATCAGGGCTTCTTGCACCAGAACTCTGATGCTCCTGCTCAGGAATAAGCCCTTTTGCGCAACTGTTCTTGTGCAAGAGGCCAGTTTAGACAGGCAACATGAATTCCTTGAGCAAGAAAGCCCTGTGGTTAAAATGACCATCAGAGCTTTCTTGCGCAAGAGAGCATCTACACTAGCATGGATACTCTTGCGCAAAAGTACATGCCAGTGTAGACGCTCTCTTCTGGAAGAGTTTTTGCAGAAGAACACTTTCGCAAAAGAGTTTTTGCATGAGAACATGCCAGTGTAGACAAGCAGCATAGCCCTAGATGGGGCCAAATGGCAGAAAAGCCTCTTCCAGAAAAACAAGCAGAAAAAGCTACGCAAATTGTGAAACACAATTTGCATACCTTTTTATGATAAAACCCAATAGTGCAGACCTAGCCTTATTCTCTAACCATTTCTTAATGATTCCTAACACTGTTTGCTTTTTTGACTACTGCTGCACATCAAGTGGATGTTTTCAGAGAACTATCCACTAGGCATGTAAACATGCAGTTAAAAATATAAGCATGTAACCACTAAAGAGCATAGCGGTTACATCATAACTTGCGCTGCGAGTTCTGCAGTATCAAGCTTATTTAAGCAAAGCTGCATCCCCAGGACTGGAGCCCGGGCTCCTGCCAGCCCTGCTTCTGGGGAGGAGGCCCCTGCCAATCTTACTCCCAGGGAACCAGCATGCCATGGACAGGGGCTGCTTTAGCCGCTATAGGTTAACCAGAAACAGCAATTCTCACCCATTAAAGGTGAGGTTTACAGGTTAATCTGTTACATCCCTACTTTCCACAATGACTCCAAGATCTATCTTGAGTGATAGCAGCTAGTTTAGTCCCCACCAGTGTTCCCTCTAAACTGTGGGGCAGCACAGCTTCATGGGTGATTAATCAGCCCAGCCCAGTCAGAGGCTCAACGGTCCCCACAAGGAGCTGACTGACTGGGCGGGGCTGATTAATCACTTGTGAAGCTGTGCTGCCCCACAGTTTAGAGGGAACACTGGTGGGGACTAAACTAGCTGCTATCACTCAAGATAGATCTTGGAGTCATTGTGGAAAGTAGGGATGTAACAGATTAACCTGTAAACCTCACCTTTAATGGGTGAGAATTGCTGTTTCTGGTTAACCTATAGCGGCTAAAGCAGCCCCTGTCCATGGCATGCTGGTTCCCTGGGAGTAAGATTGGCAGGGGCCTCCTCCCCAGAAGCAGGGCTGGCAGGAGCCCGGGCTCCAGTCCTGGGGATGCAGCTTTGCTTAAATAAGCTTGATACTGCAGAACTCGCAGCGCAAGTTATGATGTAACCGCTATGCTCTTTAGTGGTTACATGCTTATATTTTTAACTGCATGTTTACATGCCTAGTGGATAGTTCTCTGAAAACATCCACTTGATGTGCAGCAGTAGTCAAAAAAGCAAACAGTGTTAGGAATCATTAAGAAATGGTTAGAGAATAAGGCTAGGTCTGCACTATTGGGTTTTATCATAAAAAGGTATGCAAATTGTGTTTCACAATTTGCGTAGCTTTTTCTGCTTGTTTTTCTGGAAGAGGCTTTTCTGCCATTTGGCCCCATCTAGGGCTATGCTGCTTGTCTACACTGGCATGTTCTCATGCAAAAACTCTTTTGCGAAAGTGTTCTTCTGCAAAAACTCTTCCAGAAGAGAGCGTCTACACTGGCATGTACTTTTGCGCAAGAGTATCCATGCTAGTGTAGATGCTCTCTTGCGCAAGAAAGCTCTGATGGTCATTTTAACCACAGGGCTTTCTTGCTCAAGGAATTCATGTTGCCTGTCTAAACTGGCCTCTTGCACAAGAACAGTTGCGCAAAAGGGCTTATTCCTGAGCAGGAGCATCAGAGTTCTGGTGCAAGAAGCCCTGATTTCATACATTAGAACGTCAGTTTACTTATGCAAGAACACACGGCCAGTGTAGACAAGCAGCAAGTTTTTGCGCAAGAACAGCCGCTTTTGCACAAGATTGCGCCAGTGTAGATACAGCCTAGATGTGAAATGAGGAATACAGGGCTCCTTGAAAGAGCGTGCTTGCTCTTCTGCAAAAAAAAGCAGAAGCGCAAACGCGTTCCCTGGATGCAGCAGCATAGACGTAGCCTAAGACAGAAAACATCTTATTGCTTCTATAGAAATCCATGGTACAACCACATGTTGAATGCTGCATGCAGATGTGGTCATCTCATCTCACCATCATATCTTGGCATTGGAAAAAGTTCAGAACAGGGCAACAAAAATTATTGGGTTTTGGAATGGCTGCCGTATGAGGAGAGAGTAATAAGACTAGGACTTTTCAGCTTAAAACAGGGGATGCTAAGAAATCTATAAAATCATGACTGTGGAGAAAGTAAATAAGGAAAAGCTATTTACTTGTTTCCATAATGCAAGAAGAAGGTATTTCTTCACACAACCTGTGGAACTCCTTGCCAGAGGATGTTGTAAAGACCAGGATTTTAACAGGGTTCAAAAAAGAGCTAGATAAATTCATGGAGGATAGGTCCTTCAATGGCTATTAGCCAGAATGTGTAGGAATGGGTGACAGGGGATGGATCACTTGATGATTGTTCTGTTCATTCCCTCTGGCTTTGGGTTTGCTCCAAAAGGCCTCCAGTTGATAGTGTTGCTTTATCTATATTAGTGGTTCCCAACATTTTGATACCAGGGACCGTAAACCCATTTACAAACTTTCTGTGCACTGGTAACATTTTATTTGCATATTCATTATGCAAACAAATATGCAAATAAATGTTATCGGATCACCAGAGCCCCAACCTCCAGAGTACCTCAGTGCCAGCCCTAGCCCCTAGAGCCCTCCACGACCCCCCCAGCACCAGCCACTGATCCCAGAGAGTCCTCTGCCCCCTGCCCCCGTGCCAGCCTCCTGCCCTCAGAGCCCTCCAGTGCCAGCCTCCTCCCACCACCAGACCCCCTCAGGGCCAGCTTCCTGTTTCCAGAGCCCCGCTGCACCCCGCTCCTGAGCCTCCCCTTGTCCCCAGAGCCCCCCAGTGCCAGCGCCCCTGCCAATCTTACTCCCAGGGAACCAGCATGCCATGGACAGGGG